GAGAATAAACGATTGCTATTTTCTTACCTTTCGTCTCGCCTCCCTGCTTTTTGTTGCAGCCCAGGAGTGGAGTGCACCAGCTGGGCATAAGCTGGGCGTAACTCTACGTCCGACGTAGAACCGAAGGTTAAGACCAAAGTTATGACTAGTGCACCACTGTATCCATAGTAACGTAAAACATGCAATAAGGAACATAACTATGGCAGTGTGTCTTGTTTACAGGTTTAACAACGAAAGGGCATTAAGACGAGAAAGAGTCGTCCGTGATCGAACAAACCCACTGGACATCTATTCGGACAGTGAGCTGATAGAGGTTTCGTTTCGGCAGACAAGCCCTTTTTGATTTAATCGAGGAGATCTCCCCTCAACTCCAGCACGGATCAGACCGAAACGCTGCGCTCTCCCCAACCTTGCAGGTGCTGATTGCGCTCAGATTCTACGCGAACGGGGCCTTTCAAAATACTGTGGGAGACATGATTAATGTTCATCGCACAACTGCATGTCGGGCTATTAGAAAAGTTTCCTTGGCTCTCCAGCTCCGCCTTAGGAATTATATCCATCTTCCAACCCAAGAAGAAGCAGCGAAATCCATGCAAGATTTTTTGTTAAAATCAGGTATACCTGGTATTGTCGGATGCATCGCCGGTACTCATGTTCGCATTCTGGCCCCCTCTGAACATGAGTATTTGTTTGTAAAATAGAAAGGGTTACCACTCAATAAATGTCCAAATTGTGTGCAACTCGGACATGGGCATTGTCGACCTCGTTGCAAGATGGCCTGGGTCGACCCATGATGCTCGCATCCTGAGAGAGAGCGCCGTTCAACGGGAATTTGAGGCAGGGAGAGTGAATGGTCTTCTTCTCGGAGACAGTGGATACCCTCTGAAGCGCTGGCTAATGACACCTGTCATCGCAGAGAGAACTGCACAAGAGCGCCGCTATAACGAGAAGCATACACAAACGAGGAACATTGTAGAGCGCTGCATTGGAGTGCTCAAACGTAGGTTAGTAGGCCTAAGTCATTTTTATAATATATAAAAGGCCAGCCTTTTAATGTAGATATAGGCTAAATTGTTTTTTGCTTTTCTTTGTAGGTTCCACAGTGAAATGCGAATGCACCCTGAGCGCGTCTGCTTGATCATTGCTGCCTCTGCGGTGCTGCACAACATCTGTGTGAAAAAGAGAATCCCCCTTCCCATGCATGGAGAATTGGCACTGGAGGCGGATGAGAACCCTGTGGCTCCTGCTGGCATCCGTGAAGATATCGGTGGATGACTTACCCGCAATCATATAATAAACAACCTATAATAGACCTATATATTTGTAATATGAACGCTGTTTTTTTGCAATTGCATTTCAATAAGCTCCCATTGTGATCACATATTTTCATTAGGCCATTTTATAGCCACATTTATTAAAAAAACACACACAAGAACATTAAATAACAAAATGAAATTGAGATAAAAACAAGTAGCCTTCAACAAATATGATTAAAGAATGGTGAACAGATTGTCTTCTTCCGTCATGATTAGCTGATTATTAAAGGAATGCTCCACTCATTAGATAATTAATCAAAACTTCAGTATTTAGTGAAACATTATGTTTAAACCATACCCTGAAGAAATCAGCGATATTCCCCGGTAAATAATGATTTTATAGCTCTTTTTTATCAAAAACCTGTATATTCCGTCAGGCCGCTGCCATTTTGCCCATTTTCAGTAGTCACGTGATGGTCGTGACGTCATCCATGCGTTCACTTTGTAAACACACGAAAACATGGCGAAGTTTTGAGCAATATGAAGAGATTGGAAGGGGGAATTCAGCCATACAGGTTCGAGCCTACTTAGTACTACTTAGTAGATACAATGATTTTGATTACTAGATATGTATGCATGTAGTACCACCCTTGCTAGCGATTCCCTCTCTAGTTTAGCATACTCAGCCTCGTTGTCCCTGGCCCTAGAACCACGATTTTATGGGGCCGGAAAAACTGGGGGGAAATACCCACTAGCCGGTACTACGCTATATGGAAAGGCCACCAAAAACTGGCCTGGCCTGGCCTGGACGATAAAGGACGTTTAAACGGGGCTACCCGCTGCAATGGAAATGCGCCATAACATACCTTATTCTTACTCCGAGCACTACTTCTGGTCCTCCGTCGCTTCACACTTGCAGAGGGCGATTTCTCAACTGGCCGAACTGGTGTCCTGGTCGGTGATGACACCAGAAAGACCGATGGTACTGCATCTCCATTAAGTAATGGTTGTTCAATAAATCCCATGTTATGTTTATCATACTCTCAGAGTAGTCGTCCGGAAACTTGAAATGTTCGCTGCATACATGCGCCTGTGGATCTTTCGGTTCGGGCCGGCCACATTTCGCTAGCCACTGCCTCCGAACGTACTTCCTACGCTTACCTTTTGGCAACAGATAGAACCGAGCATTCCGTGGATTGTTCCTATCAGAATTGTGGCAATGTTTCGCGATACAATGAGGCATATTTGAAGAGAGTAACTACAGTAAATAACATGAACATCAACGTGTCCTCGAAACCAAACGCATGGTTTACGTCACGTCCGGTAAAATGGCGCCGCCCACAGTGTTGATGTTATTTCGGTAATTAATCAGTTTAAAATCACTGATAATGTCATCGGATTAAAAAAAAAAAAAGAGAGACTGGCAGAGACTGGTCTGTTTTATCGGATGATAAAAAAAATTAAATGAGTGTCATGAGCATACCATTCCTTTAAGAAGGGTAATTTGGAGTCTCAATTTCTCCTTCTCCAGCTCAATCTTCTCGTGTTCCGCTCTTAATTTAGCGGTCTCCACCTCCACACGAATGATTTCTTTTTCCGTCAGTTCCCGCTGTAGCTCAGTCAAATCCCTCTTCCTTTTTCGGGGTGGGGCCATTTCGGATTCCCCTTGAGTCATCGCTGACGCTGTGGGTGAGGGACTTACTTCCCTCTTCTCTGCGGTCCTCTGAGTCTGTAAAATTGCAAGTTAATGTCAGTTACTATCAACTGCCGTGATTGCTAATTGTTATCTTGCTAGCCGTGATGTCTCACGGGGGGTAATGTTTATATAGCCTAGATAATGTAGGGAGATGTTACTCTATTACTCTTCACATGTTGAGGTTGACAGCTCAGAGCTGTCGATCCCACTCAACCCCGTGAAAGTGGGGGAATCCTCTCCAAAGATAGCTATAATTATATCGCTGTATGGAGAGGTTTTTGGTGCAGGGCCCCCGCCGGTCGGCGGATTTTTGAGAACTGACGCATCCTTCTTGGCTCTGGATAGTAGGTCCTTCCACTTCTTCCTACACTCTTCCACCGTCCGTATCCCTCCATCACCCAAGTCATTTATTGCTTCAGTGATTGACTTCCAGGCTGCGAGTTTGTTCTTTTTGGTCATATTGTTATTAAATTTGGCAGTTAGCGAGTTTTTGTGCTCTGCATATATTTCAATTAAGGTTCTAATTTCTCTATCAGTAAAATTGTTTTTTCTCTTCTTTCCGTTATCCATATTCATTATCAAATTCTTAGCTTGCTCTGAATGGAGGAGTTTGAGTGGTAACTTATGGAGACGTGTGTTGCTTGGCAACAATTACTGTTTAGCGTGTATTCACGTGGACGCGCATCTTAAGACCAGGCGCAGCTACGACCGAGACTAGTCAGGCTTGGCGCACTCGGTGTAAATTCGAATCACTAAGTCAGACGTAGCTAAGCCCGACTTTTTTATGCCCAGCTGGTGCACTCCAGGAGCCGGGTTGTAACACTTGTTCAACTTGTTTTACTTCATTAGTTGGATATGGTAGGAAAAACTTGAAGCGAAAATGTTCTTCAAGTGAATGAATTTCCTTTTATTTGTCCACTGTCATATGGTATCAGTTTGTCAGCAACATCAACCTTACATGAGTTGTTACTTGGTCACAGAAAGCAGCTGAGGAGAGGAAACGGGCACGCTCTGTAGGAGACACTTTACAGTCCCCTAAAAGGGGCTGTGTAGGACGTGGCAAGCCGAGAGGGCGACAGGTTGAAATCCCAATTAATGAATTTACTAAGTAAATGGTTGGAAAATCGAATTAAAACACAGTAATTGCTTGTTGAGGGTCTAAAATAATTCCAATATATAAACGCATAGTGACACTACAGTCGGAGACATTCCCACTGTGGTGTCATAAGAATGCTTTATTTAATTTCACAAGCTTTTAAACAATAGGTAGATAATACAAATCATCAGTTATCTGTTGTTAACCCTCTGTGTGATGTTTTCCAGTCTTCCAGTGAGGAGGTTCTGCGTACTGAACCTTCAGCACAACACGAATTTGGTAAATCACAAAAATGGCTTTAAGTTTAAAACTAAAATCAATTTTTAAATAAATTGTGTTAGTGAGAGAAAATAACCTTATAATGTAATTCATAAAGATATTGGCCAGTTCCATACTGAGCAAAGAAATTATCCTTGATTTTTAGTGTTCATCTTAAATATAGTCATTTACAGTTAAAGTTTCCCATTCTGTTCACAGAAAAGAATATGGAGAGACATTCTTTCCTCGTGTCCTCCTCCTGAGCCTCAAAAAACCTCTGCCTCATCCTGGCCTTTTCGGCAGCAGAAAGCCTCAGAGCGCTGGAAAGAAGCGAGACCACACCACCTACAATGCCTTCTAGAAAAAGAGGCTGTTGGTCATCCCCTGTGTGGCCTCTGCCACTAGGTGAGATAACATTTACCTTTATACCTAATTGTAATTTTTCAGTATTAATGCTCAGTGCCCTGCTATTTCAGCTAACATGCATGACTTTTGGGACGTTAGAAAACTGGATACCTAGAGAAAACCCACATGAAAATGAAAGTAATTCTAGGATATTAGAATAATTTTGTATTTCCTTCCAAGGTGTAGAGAGTGTCTCCCGAGGAGTGGTTCTGTGGAGACTGTGATGTACTTCATCACAAGAAACAGCCACTCCACAACAGGGACAGTTTAATGAATGGGTGTTTTAAACCAACAACGTGTGTTGTTAGAGTGGAAGGTGGATATGACACCAATGACCAAGGTATGCTCTCTCAAACTTGCATTTTGATGTTCACATGTCTCTTCAGCCAGCATATCATGGTAATGAGTGCTTTTCTTTTTTTTTTGACAGCTTGCATATTGCCAACTGTGAAGGCACCCAACTGCTCCTGTAAAGGCAAACACTTCACTGTGGTACCAGGCAAACCAGTGATTTTAATTACCAGCAATGGTAAACAAATATATATATATATTTGGATTTCTATTGAATTGTTGTTATATGTTTACTGTTGTGGGCTGAGGCATTGTGCTTCCAATTGGAGTAAAACCTTCATGTAATATCTGTTAATCTTTGACTATTTGTAGATGGAACTGTTGTAAAATGTGTCTTAATTATGTTTATTTACTTGTTCCAAGGGCGTTATGACTTGCATCTGCCACTATATGTCTGTCAAACTTGCCAGCAGCAGTGGACCCCCGACTTGAAAGTCCTCCTTAAGAGTGGATACTGGCCAGCTTCGGTCAGTATTTCCACACTTTACACCTTGGACCTCCTGAGCTCCTTTGAAGAGCTGAAGGTCATCTCTCCGGGATTCTCCAGACAGGCCTTTGCAAAGCTGCAGGAGCATCGCACAAAGTGTGGAGGAAGAGTAAGTGTAAATATTCTTTACCATATTATACATTATAACATTTCCGTAAATAGACAAAATCACAGCAATATACACTGAACAAAAATATAAATGCAACACTTTTGTTTTTGCTCCCATTTTTCATGAGATGAACTCAAAGATCAAAATAACCATTTCTCTCAACTATTGTTCACAAATCTGAAAAAATCTGTGATAGTGAGCACTTCTCCTTTGCCGAGATAATCCATCCCACCTCACAGGTGTGGCATATCAAGATGCTGATTAGACGGCATGATAATTGCACAGGTGTGCCTTAGGCTGACCACAATAAAAGGCCACTCTGAAATGTATGATGAACCATGCGAGTAAAGGCTTTAAAAAAAAGCCCCAATTATTAAATCTCAGCAAAACATGCATCAGACTTTAGTCTTGTTTTGAAACTCCTGTTGAAATATATAGGCCGTAACGGCCCTGAGCATAACAAATAAATACTAACGTTAATAATTATTATTTTCAAAGCAATTTATGAATGAAAATACAATAGTTCCGAGTTTATATGCAGGCAGATTTATTTCTGGAATTATTAGAAGTTTTGGGCGAAAGATTGTATTTCACAAGTGGCGTTTGAACGCATCATCATTTCACTGTGTCTGTGGTCGTCGATTTTGTCAATAATTTCTGTCTTGAATATACAAGGGTAAGGTTCTCTTCTTCACTTTAGCGTTGCAGCCTTTAGTTATGAATAATTAGTATGAATTACATGATGTAGGCGCTATTGTCATGTTTAAGCTGTTATTAATGTGTCATATCCACTTAACGGGAAGAAAGTTAACGTGTTTATTTATTTTTTAATGTGTTGTGTTTTTTTAGACTGAAAAATGGATTCCCCATCAAAGATACCCCAGATCCAGGACACCGAGGCGGAGACCCTTAGAGGAGAGGGACAACTGTTCATTGTAAGTAAAACATTTAAATGACAACGCGTCGTGCAAGTAGGCCTACATTATCCTGCTTATTATAATGGCCACATTCTCAACAAAGTAACGATATGACTTCCAATATTAATTTAAATGCTGTTATGGATGTAGAAAATGTTTTTATTGATTTAAAAGAAGATCCGCAAAGAAAATAGTTCGTTGTTGTAGGCGATTTTTTTTCACTAACGGCTCCTCGAGCAGGGATAGACTTTGGATTACAGATTTGAAAACATCGTTGCTTGGTTTAAAAGTAGCACAATTGATATTAGTCGACTAAAAGTCTGAGCATTTTAGTCAAAGAAAACAAATTATTTTAGTCTACTTTTTGTCAATGAAAACTGTTGAGTGTTTTTTAGTCAGCAGATTATATAGAACATTTCAGTGAAACGAGTCTAGCCAAAACCAATAATTTGTCATTTTAGTAGGCTATATATAAATAAATAAGATTATATCTTGTCCTTATTTGATTAAAAACACAGGTTGAATGATTAAGAATGCAGCTTTGCAGAGAGTATCTGGTCAGGTTTGTGGTGTTTTTATCAGCTGTTATGGCCAGATTGCTTCCCTTACGGCCTGTCCACACAGCAGCTTTTGGCGCCGCTTCCAGCGCGTCTCCGTCCATTGACTTTGAATGGGGATGACGTCACTTTCCCTCGCTTGTCGCCAAACTGCATTGTGGGGGGGCGAGGCGAAGATTTCCAGGATGTTCAGGATTCCAAAGTTGAACAATGTTCAACTTTTGAGGCTGAGCTGGAAGCGACAGCCAATCAGATCCGTTTATGCAAATCTGACATTTCAAGCGCTAGCCAATCAAACCGCGTGCAAGCTGGGAGAACCAGACCCGCAGTTCATTTCCTCATATTCCAAACGAGAAATTACGGTAGCAAATCACCCGGTTCTTTACGACCAGACTATTTACCGGGATACAAACCGGAGGAACCAGGCATGGAGGGAGGTGGCAGAGACAGTGGGTGAAACTGGTAGGTTTTCGCCTGTTTGGGGAGTTTATATATATATATATTGCTCGCATAAAATCCCCGTTTTTTTTTTGCTTTGTATGTCGGGGGCGGGAGATTCATGTGATTGGTTGTTGGTCGTGTTGCTCGCAAAAAATCCCCAAGCTGTCAGACACGCCCAGCTCCTAGATTTTCAAGATTTGTTCAAAGCTGCTGTGTGGACGGGCCGTTATGATAAAACAATGCATTCGCTTTTTTTCTCCGCCTCATTGTAGCGAAAATGGGCTTTATTTCTTTATTCCAAGCAGTGGTGGCTTTAGACTTTGTCAGTCATTTTCACGGACAGGATTGTAACATTTCCGTCATAATCCATTATTACCCGTAGAGTGCACCATTTACCACTCACTCGCGCTGACCGGGGGATATTTGGTTAACGGGAATGCGACCCTCTGCTCCCAAGCCCTGTTGTTGCCATTTTATTTTCTGTTAAATAAGGTTAGTTAGATCATGAGTTAGACCCGAGTCTTCCTGACAGTTGACATTGCCCGGTGTAATTCAAATGTACCGCCGCGCGCACCACACCACATTAATGCACACCACATACTGTCGCAGCACCGGAAATGGAACTGCTGGGAGAAAAACTAGGCTTGTTTGAGACGCGTTGCGGCTCGCCTCGAAAGTAGACGAGAGTAGCCGATCGCAGCCGGGGGAGGTCTCAAAAAGATCGCCTGAAGTCGGACAGCTCGGAGTCGGCTTCTTCTTGTTCGCCTTATTCTTCTTCTTCTCTCTGTTATTTGGCGGATTGCAACAACTTAAAAGGTGCATACCGCCACCTCCGGAGTCGGCTTGACTCGGTTTGCATTTATAAAGAATACACACATATGTTTAATCGTTAATGTCAGATATGTACTAAGTAAATACATTTGTTCCTGCTCAAGAATAGATTCAACTTTATTGTTATTGCCCATATTACAGGTGTACTGAGACAACAAAATGCAGTTTAGCTTGTAACCAGGTACAAGAAACAGTGAAGTGAAAAGTAATGTACACAATCTACAGAATAAAATATAGAATGAATTGAATGATGAATAAACAGTGAATGAATACAATATCAGCCTGTGAGCACTTATTTTTGCACCGCGGAACGTTTCTCACTGGATGAGTTTCAGGCGTACCAATTATACTGGAGCACCAACTAACGTTCATGACTTCAGACAACAACAAACCACAGTGAACAACAGCGGGAAATGTTGTTTTAAAAAACGGACGGATGGAAGCGTCGATAAGAGCACGGTTGTGTGCAAATTATGCAAAAAGGAATTCGCATATCACCGCAGCACATCAAGCCTCAAGTATCACCTCAATGCAAAACATATAGCAGCTAGCTTAATGTAAACAAGACGAAAGTCTTTCTCTGGTCTGCATCCCCTTAACAATTGTATGTTTTGAGTTGTACTGTACTGTACCCAATATACAAGCTGTTAATAAACTTTTCAATCAATCAATCAATCAATAGCGTGGAAGCTAGCGTGGACGTTAGCCTCTTTTATCGCGTTCACACCAAAAAGAGCCGGTACTAAAATTAGTTCATGAGAACCTTTTTACCCCCACGAAAGTCCCTGCTAGAGAGCAGAGAGCTGCTAGAGAGCAGGGACTTTCGCACGGCTCTCTTGTGAGAAAAGAGCTATATTTCTGATTGGCTGGGCGGATTGCAAACCACGCCCCGTAAAACTCCCAAAAAGTGTTGTGAATTTTATTATCCTCGCATTAGCATTATTAGCATTAGCCCAGCGCAGAAACGCAGAGAGACTAACTTATGGCAACACAAAATAAAACATGGGAACGGTGGAGATGAGGAGGTGTCGGCGTTCTGGCGATTTACTCGGAAGGCTTCAGTAGAAGCTGCTGGGACTCCCAGCAGCTTCTACTGAAGCCAGTCCCCAACTCCGGGGACTTCCGGCCGGGGACTTTGGGCGGCAGTATACGACGTGAAGTGGTTTGCTGCCTGCCAGTAAACCCAATGCAGAAGAAGAAGTGACGTCAGCGGCTTCATTTGCCTAATACACTCCCAGGTTCAAAGAGTTCTCATGAACTAAGTTCTCATGAACCTTTGTGGGAAAAGTACTGCGGTGTGAATGCGCCTAATGGTATACTAAAATCCATGTGAAAAAAATTGCTTCTCACTGTTCTCAGGTCAAATATTTATATGCGATTAATTTCGATTAATTAATTACAAAGCCTCTAATTAATTAGATTAATTTTTTTAATCGAGTCCCAGCCCTAGTATTAATACACTAGATATATAAAGTAGGGCTGTGCGATTATGGGAAAAATCATAATCACGATTATTTGGGTCAATAATTGATATCACGATTATTAAATACGATTATTCATTGACTTAGAAAAAATCCTTTAAAACAAATAATAATTGGAACAGTATCTTTTTAACTGTTGATTACCCTGAACGTATAATTCAACTGAAAAACCAATACAAAAATAAATTAAATAATATACACCAATAAACAAGAACAACAAATATTTTGGAGCGCACTTCCACAAGCTACTAAACATATATAAATACAAATAAATTAGACCAAAATTAATTAGATCAAATATGTTGCAGTGCACTGTCACAACCTAGCAAAGCAAAATAATAGTTTTGTTCCGATTATGTTGTTTTGGTAATTGTGGCAGGGCAAAATGGTAATTGCGATTCAAATATGATTAATTGCACAGCCCTAATATAAAGTATGAAAACGGTAAGCAGTACAAGTATAGTATAAAATATATGGATATTAATGTCATGATAAACATTGTGGAACAATGATGAAAAATGGGAATGGATGTGGCGACGTAAAACTGACACAAAACAACAACAAACTTTTGACGAGCCAATTGGAGAGCTTCATCAGCAGCACGTGGTAAAAACCACCAATGAGCGCTCAGCGAGTCGTTTCCCATCAAGCATTTCGCTTTCGCAGCCCGTGGAGAACAACTGCGCCGCCTCGCTCTCAAGGCTGCGGGCGTCTTTGTGCCGCGAGATTTCAACGTCTCATGTAGGCGGGCCTCCAGAGCAAGTGGGACAAAATGACTAACCATCATGCAACGCACTAGCAACTGCGCAGGTCTCGCTTGTCTCAAACAAGCCTACTGACTATCAGAAATGTAACGTTATCTTTGAGTAAAGAGAGATTTTGGCCTAGTTTTTATTTAGAGCTTAACGGCGTGTAAAACACATGTGATGACGTCAGCAACGAATGGACGACTGAATTAGTTGGCAACTAATTTGGTAATCGATTAGTTGTTGCACCCCTAGTCTAAATGGTTGTTAATAGTTTTCTGATTTATGTGTAAATGTGTTTTGTTATTTGCAGTACTCAATCTTGGATGTGGCTGTGGCCCGCCCAGCTCTGTACGCCCGAGGGCTACAGGTCCTCTGGCGCTGTTTTCAGCTGCTGGCGCGGCAGCTCAGGCTCCGCCATGCGGCGGAACAGAAGGTGGCCACCTTAAAAGGGGAGCTCGGAAACTGGAAACAGAAGGCAGGAGAGGCCCTGCAGCGCCTGGAGGTGCTGTAGGCAACCGCCTTGTTTGCCGAGGATGGTAAGTGTTGGTCCTTAAACTTTAAAATGTATGACTGTGATGGTGCATTTGTGCTATACTACTGTAGTGTTACATTGACTGTTTTTTATTTTGGTTGGACTGAGTGCATCATCATACAATGACAGAATAGTCATTTGTGACTACTAATGTGTTTTTTTGTCTTCATGTGTGCAGACCGGAGTGACACAGGCACCCAGACGGAGAAGGAGGGATTTTTTTTTATTGTATAAATGTTGTGTTTGAAAATAAATGTGTTCATTTAATTGGTTTCATGTAGTTGTTGATTTACAGTGTATGTCTGTAATTATAATTAAGAATGTTAAGAGGGTTGTTGTAAATAATAACACAATAGTATTAGTAATAATGAGGAACAGCATTATTTATGATACAATGCAACTGTTAGTCAGCAGGTGGCAGTAATGATCAGGGATTATTTAGGAATTAGTTTAGTTTTGAGTAGCATGACAAGTATGGTTACGACCTCACTAAATGCAATACACAAAGTAGTATTTTAATTGTATTGAGTGTTTTCATGTAATCACAAAGGTAAGAGGTAAGAATATGTCCATCATCTCTCTGCAGCTTCATGTCTTGTATTATGAGAATAATGATGATTATGTGCAGCAACTATAGACAAGCAGGTGTTTGGTGATAAGAATGTTGGGGAATCAGACATAAGCAAGCAATAATAATTAAATATCTCTGAAAAGAAAGGACAGCACAAATTAAAATGTAAACCTAAGACGCAAAGAAGTGCAAGATAACAGATAAATATATAACAACCACAATGTAGATTCAATAATATGAGAGAAGTTGTAGATTAAGTGTACAGTATTTCAAATAAAGACAATGTAATAAGTATATACAGTATATGCAAAATGACAAGTACTATATGAAGTGACAGCATTGATGAGCTATACACGTCTACACCATAGAGCAGGGGTGGCCAACCTTTTTTGAACCGAGAGCTACTTTTAAAGTTGCCAGTCTGCCGAGATCTAGAGAGGCGTAGCCATTACTGACAGCCTACTACCAGGTAAATACACACTTCTACTTGTATAAAACTGACCTTTGTACGATTAATACTTCATAAAATACTGCAGATCCTTTATCTTACCTCTTTCTAATCTACACACATACAAGTATTTAACTGAAGTTACCCAACAGTGTTGTTGATACAGAGTTGGAGTTTATTCACACGTCACACTACAGTGGGTAATGTTTTCAAGAAGCATTGAACAGTGCTGCCACAAATGACACAGGAAAAAAAAGAAAAGACTCTGAACCCTTTGTTTGCCATTATATAAAAATAGTGTTGCTACAAAAGTATAAATTAGGCTTACTAATAAGACGCTACACAGGAATCTGCTGCAACTGAGCGCTATCCAGCAACTCAGGTGGCAGCTCTGTCCTGATTTACCGTGCACTTTTCAAAGTAGGGGTCGTTCCCCAGCAGATCCATTTCTCCAGAATTCTGGTAATCACAGAGAAAACAAGAGATCATAATAAAGACATGGTTGCTAAAGCATGATTGAACAATGTAACTGTAAGCCTTATAGACAGATAAAGTGTTTGTGTGTGTGTGGGGGGGGGGGGGGGGGGGGGGGGGGGGGGGGTGTTTATTTGTAGGCTTTAGGAGATATGTAGAAATAAACAGTAGATATTTTTCATGAAACCATATGGTGCTTCACATAATAAATACAAGGGCTGTAGCCTAATATTTATTATATGCTTTAGGAGCTGTTTGTTGTACAACGTGTGTGTGTGTGTGTGTGTGTGAGCGTTGATGTGGCAGGCAGACAGGCAGGATTCAGTAGCTTATCTGACATATAAATGGTCCAAAAAGGTATATTCTACGAGGTCCTCATTTCAGGTAGCAGCTATTTGCTTCACAATTTAGCATCACATTGGATATGGGCAAAATTTGTGCTGGATTTGAGTTTTTTGGAATATTTCCCTAGGAGGAGTTTGCAAAAATGTGCTTAAAATGCATGAAAAACGCACATTGTTGAATATGGCCAACTTCCTGGGGGGCGGGGCTAATAAAAGCAAATTTGAAATATGTCTGCAATCATAAGAGACATTTGTATACAGCGTTTTGTGAATATCGGAATAACTATATGCGAGCAGTTTGGAGCAATTTGCGCCATGTACACATACACACACCCTCCCGGTCCTCCCAACAGCCAGTCGGTGCCTGCCAGTGAGCGTGGAAGTGTGGTCTGCCACAAGCGGGCAGCAGGAGCGGGGCTGTCAGCATCAGCTTGTAGATGGTATTTTAAACTCGATGCGCTCTGAAACTACGGGGCGGCCGAGGAAAAACAATACACATGCGTTAGTGGCGTTATTTTTTTTTTGCGTTAACGCAAAAAAACAGCCCTAGTAATTTCTAATGTCTATTAAAACAAATATTAAAACATTGTATCTCAATAAATGAATTTATTAATTAGCCAATCAAACCGCGTGTATGCTCGGAGAGACTACGCAGGTCATTTCCTCATATTCCAAAAAATGGAGGGAAAATTCATTGTAGCGGTAGTGAATCACCCGGTGCTGTATGATCAGTCTCTGTTCATCTACCGGGATACAAACCGGAGGAACCAGGCATGGAGGGAGGTGGCAGAGACAGTGGGTGAAACTGGTAGGTTTTCGCCTGTTTGGGGATTTTATATCCAGTTTACTTCGCTTTGAATGTCGGGGGCGGGAGATTCATGTGATTGGTTGTTGGTCGCAAAAAATCCCCAAGCTTCAGACACGCCCACCGCAAGCTGCTGTGTGGACGCTCCGTTAAGAACTTTATTTTGTGAAGTAAGTGAAAGTTGGGCTACTTTCTTTTCATTTAATTTCAGACTGAATTTTACTTCTAGAATCTAATGATAATTAAATGTACATTACACTGATGAGAATGTAAAATGATTTATAAAGAATGTGTTAATAACCATTTTGTTATGGTCCCTTTGCGCTTCTATATACTCTATATTGAGATCTCTGACGGCCTGGTATCGGGGACAATTGGTTGATCAACAAGCACACAATATCATTCATTTGAATATGCTTCAATTATTAAAAACTAATAAGTGTATATTTTGTTGTTTCAGAACATGGACCTGAAAACTGTGCTCAACGTACCAATGGACAGCCCATACTTCTAACCCCCACCAATCACTGTAAAGGTGATCAAACTGGAGGACCAGCCAAAAGTGGTGGCTTGGGACTTTGGCGACACAATAAAGGCGGCCACCGTCAAACACAACAAGGTGGCCATTGTGTCTGATGGCAGCAGTGTCACTAAGGTGACCATTTATGAGGAGTATGCCTCAAAAATCGCAGAGGGGGGTACCTATGTGTTAAGGGACTACACACTGCGCGGGCAGTCTCACCCTTTTTTTCTCAACATTACAAAAACCACAATTTTTTTTCGAGGCACTACCCTTCAAGTGCCGCAAAACCTGCTGGAGGCGGAGGCCCTCCTCCACCCTGCCTCGCCAATTACATCGGTCAAGGACTGCACAGATGTGCAAGTCTACATGTCTGTGCAGGGAGAAATCATTGAGGTAAGTTTGACCTTACGGTCAGTGTTGCCAACTTGGCGATTTTCTTGTTAAATTTGGCGGATTTCCAAACCCTCCAGCGACTTATTTGTGTCAAAAGCGACTAACGACTAATCTAGCGATTTATAATGGTGTTATTAGCAACTTTTCTGGTGTTTGGAGACTCACGTATTGTTCTGCAGTTAACGAGCCGCGGGTGCTGCCGTGAGCCCCGCCTCCCTCCCATAGTACTCACAGGCGCTCAGACTGACAGTTGCCTGGCCGCAGCAGAGCAGCTGCTGCAGTCAGAGCAGAGAGGAGACAACCACACTCCCCGCGTCGAGACTGCAAATGAATTGCGCATGCGCCAACTGCCAAGCCGTCCTGGTTTTGAGCGGGGATTTAAATGTTGAATGTAAATGTTTCTTCACTCACTTTCACACTATAATAAATAACTGCCTTTGCTTTGCCTCACACAGCCTCAGTCACTCAATCACCTCGTCCACTGTGTGTGTGCCTCTCTGTGACAAGCTAAACATCATGGCAGTCTAAATTGTATTCTCAAAAATACAGAAAGGAGTGGGAATCAAACCCTGAGTATAAAGGATGGTTGAAGCCATTTATTGGAGATGACACACGGGCATACTGCCTTTATTGTAAGGGGGATTTCTATGTGTGACATCAAGAAGCATGTTAAAACCCAAAAACATACTCAAAAGGCAAAGCCTTATCACAGTGCCACTCAAAGCAAGCTGCCATTATTTAACACTAAAACAATTGACCCTGCAAAAAAGGCTGAAGCCATCATGGCTTTAGCTATGGCTGAACACTGTTCAATGCTGGCATGTGATCACATTGGGGAGGCATGTAAAGCTGCTTTCTCGGACTCCACTGCTGCTAAGCACTTCAAAATGCATCGGACAAAGTGCACCGAGATGATAAATGGTGTTCTAGCACCATACTTCCTGAAAAAGTTGGTCGCAGATGTGGGTGACCAGCGTTTCAGCCTCCTCCTTGATGAGTCCACTGATGTCAGTGTTTCTAAGTACCTGGGGTTTGTGATAAGGTACTTTAGTAACACAAAACAAACAATTGTCTCAACATTTCTGGGGCTTGTTCAGTTGGAGGGAGGAGATGCCAGATCTATAGCCCAAGCTCTTGTGGCTTTCCTAGAGAAGTGTTGTCTCAAAAAAGAGAAACTCCTGGGGATAGGGACTGACAATGCCTCAGTTATGACGGGGAATAAGAATGGGGTCCATAAAGTGCTGATGGAGGAGTATGGCATCAAAGATCTGGTTCTTATTCGCTGTGTGTGTCATTCTCTGCAACTTGCTGTAACTCATGCTTCCAATGACACCCTCCCCCGTAGTGTGGAGTACTTGGTACGGGAGACCTATAACTGGTTTTCGGTGTCTCCAAAGCACAGGGACGCCTATAAGGCCATATATGAGACTATCAACTGTGGGGAGCAGCCCTTACAAATAACCAAGGTGTGTGTGCGACACGTTGGCTCTCCATTGAACCAGCGGTTACACGCATTTTGGACCAGTGGGAGGCGCTTAAACTGCATTTTGCAGTCACCAAGTCCAGTGAACACTGTTACATGGCTGAGGTTTTACACTCCATGTACAGTGATCCTCAGAACATTTTGTACCTCACTTTTTTGAAGTCGGTGCTGGGTGAGGTGCAGTTGGCGATCAAGGCTTTTGAGGGAGAGCAGGTGGATCCTTTGA